CCTGTCATCCAGCATTGCCTCTGATATAAGGACTAAAATATAGACGTAATTTCTCTCTGACTTTTGAATGAAGTATTCTTCTGAGGGGCTGCTTCTCAATTTGGAGTGAACTGGGGATGGAAGATGCTTCATAGCTCATTTGTTCATCACAGCACCTCACAAGGGATGAAGCTTTACTCTTGTGAGGCCAGTTTCTCCTCTCAGCTTCTCTACAAGCCAGTAAGGACTTGAGCAGCAGTGCCAAGACCTTGCCCAGTTTACGTAGTATGACCTGCATGAGAGCTGTGAGTTGGAAGCATCCATGTCCTAGGGGTTTTTTCCTGGCTAGAGGAGCCCCCAACACTGCTCATCTAACATTGTGGGTTTTGGTGGTTTTTTTTAGTGCCTATTGAGGAAATCAGTCCTCATATTAAGCATTTTTAATTATTCCCGCTTTTACATCTAACCCCACTGCACTGGAAGTATCAAATATGGCAGGTTACCAAGGGCACAGATAACTGAGGTGAAGGTCAGGACCAAATCCCACACAGTAAGAAAATATTAATTGTGGCTTTGAAAGCATATAGGACCTCCAGTTTGAGGAACTCCAACTAATCAGGACTTTATCTGAACTGCAGCCTTACTCTTAATAATTCTTAATGGATGTTTGAAGGCAAACTAGAGGTAAAACAAAAGTCCCACTAACCCAATTAGGTTAGTCATACCCTGAGAAAAACTACTTAATTTGAATCAGTGCAAACTATTTTATTTTCTACTCTGATTATAAAGCCTAAGAAACTGTTAGTCAAAAGTAATGAAGTTTCTATACTTCTGTGTGTGCAGAACATCACGCTATTAATTAGGTAGTTTCGGTAACATAACTAAATATTGCAAAATAGACCTATAAATGAAAGACCAGCAACAGACATTACAGAGGAATTAATGAAATAACTGGAACTCCAGTAGATACTTTGTGTATTTCTGTAACAGACTCACGCGTGAAGCGCCCTCTTGTGTCCGAAGAAATTACAGCTACTGCTGGAGGCGGGTCTGGATGCGTCCCCTTGGCACACAAGGGTGTCGCAGGTACTCGTTGTTTTCTGACAATATGTAACACAAACGTGAAGGAAATTCTGTCTGACAGTAAGAAAAGATAGGAGTCTTATTTTGTTTATTGAACCACTGAACTTTGGTCATTGCTGATTGTGAGGTATAGATTAAGGCAGACTTTTGGAAAATGTGATGATTGCTAAACAGGTTGCTGTAATCTCTGTAGTTTCTAGAAATATTAGTGCCCTCTCCATAACAAAATGAAATGCAGAACTTACAACAACATACATCATATCCCCAGTTGTAACTGATGGAGCTCTTCTCCTTTGTAAACCCAAAAGATGTGACACAACCAAGCAACCCCGGTTTGAACCCCCATGACACTGCTCTGACTTAGTTTGCTCCAACTCCTGTGAACACATTCATATCTAGCTGGTAGCTGTATGCCCTCGAGAACATCAAGAAACACAAACATTTCATGATTACCACTGAAACTGCACCAAACTTGATGCTGGTTTTGCCTTTAAATTACTCTGTGCTGAAATTCTGCATGATGTCATGCTGTTCATGTCAGCAAAGAAATACAGTGTACTTTAAGCTCTCTGGGTTTCCTTTACATAGAAGAGGAAACAAACCAAGACACTATCTTCTGTGCTCTTACTTGACCTTTCTCCTGAACTAGTGGTGAAAGCCTAATGTGTCAGAAAAGTTTTTAAAGGTGACATTTTATCCCTTTATCCAGTATCGCTGCCAAAGAAGCCCTAGAGAGACACTTTGGAGAACAAAGTAAGCCTTCTTCTCAGGAAATTATGAGGATGGCTGAGGGGCTCAATCTTGAGAAAGAAGTTGTGAGAGTTTGGTTTTGCAACAGAAGACAAAGGGAAAAGAGAGTGAAGACAAGTTTACATCAGAATGCCTTTAGTTCTATTATCAAGGAGCATCACGAATGCCGGTAAAGCTTTTCCATGCATAGATGTGGATTTCTGTTTTGCCTTTTGTAAATATTGTAAATACTATATTCTTTAAAAAAGAAGAAAAAAAAAACCAGTAAACCACTTGTTTCTCTTACAAGCTAGCCAGCTTCAGATGAAGTGTGTTGTGGAAGACCCAATTTTAACCTAAAAGGTTGGAAACAAATTAAATGCTACTACTATATTTAAAGAGTTGGAGGTCTCTGCTTAACTGCAAGGAATCTATTATGCATTATACAACTACAAATGCTTTCCAAGTTGCCCAAGTATTTGCTTTTCAGTTTCTCTGTGCTGTGCCTTTCTTGCATCTGTGGTATGTTTAATGATTAACGGAGAACCCCTTGCAGGTACCCTAAGCCTCAGGAAGCAAAGCCTTTATGTTATAGGTGAAGAAAGGTTACAAAGCTTGATATTGGCAGCTATAGTTCTGAAAGAACTTTGCCTCAGCATGTCCGTGCATGTGCTATCCCCTCACCCCACGCTAACTAGCTATCTGCACTAACCTTTGCGAGATCATAAGCCATTAGACACATGGCAGGGTCCCATCGCCACTGCTGAACACTGAGCTCGCCAAACTGAACATCAGTGAGAAATTGGACCTTCAAAGAAGAGAAGGTGAATAAGTGACCTTAAACAAGCAGTGGTGACACTGCTGAATATCTAGTTATGGCCAAGAATGGGATATACCCATGAGATCTTGTGGGACTGTCACTAGATCTGAGAGCCAGGTAGAAGAACGCTAGCTGAAGAACTGCCTTTCCAAAGCACGGCTCAAACCCAGCGACCTGCTCACAACAGCTGTACACCTCTGAGTAAATCATTTCAGGTAAACTTGTTGTGTAAGTTCAAGAGAAAGCCATTAGAAACGTGTCGTAATTGCTGTTGTTATTCACAGTAGAGTGTGCTTACAGAGTACACCAAAGTAGAGAGTTGTCAACATCGTTCCTACTGTGTGCTCTGTCTCCGTGTACAACTTGGCTGCCTTAAACAGGTGCTAAGTAGAAGTGACTTTTTTTTTATGCTTGTTATCAAAGGTAATTCTTGCTAATATATTATATGCGTTAAAGTTTGATTTGGGTAGGCTTAGCTATAAAAATTGGGATACAATTTACCTTACCTTAAGACTTTATGACTTGAAGAGGAAAAAACTAGAGAATTATCAGGGGGGGTATTGCTTTAGGCTTTCTTTGCATTGTACTTTTTTCTGATTAAACCCATGTGTGGACATACTTAGACCAGAGAGAGCGCATTAAGCTAAAAAAGGAAGGCCCTTGCACTCTGAAAGAAGTATCCACCCAAAGCATTTATTGCACTGCACATTCCCACTCTCTTACACCCCACTAATTGAAAATAATCCCTTATTTGTCATCCTCTAGCCTAGAGAGATAATCGGTGGAGAAAAAAAACAACAAACAGTGCCAGAGCTCCACCTCTCAGAAAGCCAGGCACCAAGAAACTGAATTAATGACTGTAGTACTCACCAGGGATAGATTATCCGGCCATCTCATCAGCCCTGCTCATTGTTATTAGAATAGCCCATTACCATATATGTATTTTTGACTGTTTTCCCAGGACTGAAATTAATTGAGTACATGCAAGTAGTAATGGCCAGATACATTTTATTTTTCCATAAAACAGACCTGATGATTTAGAAAATGTCTAGATAATAGGCCCACAGAAAGCAAAAGGAGTTTAATGTTCAAGACCACTTAGAAGCAGTGTGTACAAGTTAAGTGCTCTCTCTCTAGTGTACGTTAAATTATCTCTGATACCTATTACAGTGACCACAGGCATATTCAGCTACGGCAATTAGGATCCTAGATTAAAAAAAATACATTTTCATGGATGAATGCATTTGCTACAAACCCCTTAATTTAGAAGAAACCTTCAATTTAATAACTCAAAGGGGAGAAATTGTGCTATATACTCTCTTCAAGTTCTTATCACTAGCACAGCTCACCCACTACACCAGAGAAAGACCAAGCCTTAGCCTTTATACACCACGTGTATATCGACTGATCGTGAGCTGTCCGAAAGGATGAAAGATAAATACAGTGGAGATTAGCACTCAATGAAGGTGGTAGCATGCATTTGTGTACCTTTGATGCTATGTCATCTAATGTTATGTATTTTGAAACTATCTGATATATACAAAATGTATTTATATTCTAAGTTATTTTCTTAATTATAAAAGGCTTCCTAGAAATGCTATAAGCCTGTACTTCTTGCCCTTCCCCACCCCTCCAGTAAAGTATTCTTATACATTTGGTATTTTAGGTAATGGTTTGTAGTTCTGTCTCGATAACACTTTACTTTTTCCATTGTGTATCATGCTGTCATGAATGGGTGATTTAGATCGCTGGAAGGACCACTGTTAAAGGTATTGACAAAAGTGGTTTTAATATGACGCTGTAAAAGGGCAACTTCACAAAGTTCGATGGCAAGGTTCTCCTTAGTAATTACTGTGTGGAAGAAACATACAAAGGAAAATTGAGTTAGGATCGAGTTAGAATGATTTGCACAGAGACCGGAGACGCAAAAGGGTAAGGAAGACCCTCCCAGTGAGTCACAAGTGTCGGAGTGGACCCCCCTTGTTTTCTAAACTCCTCATGAAGGTTAGGTGAGGCCAGGTCAAATCTCAGTCTCAGACTTGGACAACGATTTACATCTAATGGAATTATCTATATAAAGTTTATAATAATTGAGTAGCTACATGGATTAGTAGTTTCATTAGCATTAATTCAGCATGCTATCTGTCACTTACCAAAGATCTGCCGTTGGTAAAAGCTGTCTCTGCCTCGACGACCAACCTTGAGAGGGGTCCCAGCTCAAGGGGAGATCACCGCCATGCAGCCACGCTGCCTAGCAGAGAGAGCTCAAAGGAGGCTCACTTAAGCTGTCATATTTCTGGAATAAAGTGGTTGGCAATGTGAAAGGTATGCATGAGACTCCTTGTACCCACAACTTTCTTTGCTCCTTAATAATAAATGAGTCTTGGAAGAGCTGCCTGCTATTCATGTGTTAATCGCATGATCGGTGTTCCAAGCTCATACGCATCAATGAGCAGTGTGTCACTCTGCTCCTTTGTGGGATTTCAGAGAACAGATTGGAACTAGAGTAGTTCTTGGCCTTTACCTCCTTTGGAGCTTGTACCAAACTACCGCTAGTTTGGTCAAGGGGGTCGAGTGCATCCATCACACATGCTCACGTGCTTATTCATTTTAGCATGCTGTAATAGTTAATTCAAGAGGAGACACCGTAACATTGTGATTTCTAATCTTACAAAAAGTCTCACAAGTGAAAGCTAATTGCAGAAGCATAGCAAAACAAAATGAAAGGTGACACATAATGCTATTTTCTCACAAATGAATGACAAAAGGCTAAGTGGAGGAAGCAGCCTCCATTTAAACACATTTAGCTGTTGCCACAGAAATACTAACAAATTAGAGCAGAATTGTTTAAAGAAGAAAAGCTGGATAAAATCAATTTAATGTGCTGCAGCTGCAGCCATTAGATTTAGTGAAAGTGGCAATTGGTTTTTTTTCAGTAGGAACAACTTACTGGGTAATTGCCATCAATCACTCTTGATTGGGGAAAACCCCCTAGATAAGACTTCTGAGGGGCAGCTTTAAAAACCTGCAAGTAAGAGTTTAGTGGGCCATTTGACTAACATGGGCTCCACTATTTTTGTTTGAGATGTTTGTGGGATTTTTTTCTTGCTCTTCTCCCATGGCAACTTTAGACACGGTGTTAAAATTAGAATACAGGAGAAAACAAGACATTATGACCGTGTATAAATCTGTGGTTCACCTGTTTCCGAAGTACTGTGTAGCATTCAGTTCCCCTCATCTGATGGATACAACAGACCTAGAAAAGGCCCCTATGCAGGCAAAGCTGACAATCAAAGGTAAGAGGAATAACTGTTTATGCTACTGCCTCTCTTCTAGGTTTAATGCGTGTGCCTTGACTGCTATAGAGGTATACTGAATTATGAGCTCTATTGAAAGGCTGGATGGAGTCAGGCTGTTCACCATCTTGCCTAATGAGGAGTAAACATGTAAAACTGGAAAGAAGCTTAAGAAAAAACAAAAGTGGTGGTTCTTAATGTGGTGGGGAAAAAACAACGTGGAACTCTTCTACTAAAAAATGTGGGTGCCAGAAGTTTATTTATGTGGAGAAGTTCACAGATGAGAAAGCCACTCAAAGCTGTTGTATATAGAGGAACTTAGACATGGCTCTGGAAGTGCTCTAAATTGAAAATAGTTAGAGGTTGGAAGAGTATTAGTGGAGGAAATGTCATCTACATTGATCTTGTTCTCGTATTTTCCTGGGCATTGCTTATGACCACCTGTGGAGTAGGATTCTGAGTGAGTTGGACCTCTGTCTGCCCCAACAGAGCCATTCTTAGGTGTGTGCACAATTGCACTGTTCTTGGATGGAGGACTTTCAGATTCAGTTACTGTTAAAGTGTCAGCAAGGATAATGGAGTTTAAGGATTGAGTAGGGGGTTTTTTTGTCTGCTAAGAGTGATTTAAAAGGAATTTGTTTCCAAGTAGTGGATGCAATTTTGTTACAGATGGCTATAACATACTAACTGTAATTGAAAAAATTATAAGCAAGCCTGCAAACCTACATCACTTCTCACTCTGCTACTGAAAGATTTTTATACAGATTACAGCTGCAGGACTTAAGAGGTAACTGTTAACAGAAACACCAAATTCATATTAACAGTAGCCCTAGTTCAGCAGTCTTACTGACACCAAAAACCCATGCCTTTATTCCTGTTCGTCAAAGACCCCGTAGATAGAGGAAAGAACTCTCAAGAGAATTACGCCGTTTTGACAGTCATTAAAAGGATAAAGTGCATACTTCATTCAGAAAGGATATAAGCCTTGGTGTTGAACCAAAATACAATCAATCAGTAACATTTTATATTTAACTAATTTCACATTACAGTTTCTTCTTCAGTGCCTAAGAGCAGTACT